CGCCCCGCCGCGGCATCGGCTGAAGCACGTCAGGGTAAGCCCAGCTGTCCTCATGTCCTCTCTGACACTTGGACAAATGTGGCACTACACGTGTGCTGCCTGCTGCCAAGCAGCATGTGTCACAGCTGTGCCCTGCCTGCCTCTCCCGCAGCGGGAACACTAATTTTGGGTGCCACTCTCTGGTATCCAGCTGCCAGTATTCATGAAACTTGTCAGAACGCAATTATCTCCGAGGCGTTTGTTAAATGTGGTTGAGCTCGGCTAATGGATTTGAAAAAATATCGTGGGGAAGGGGACTGACACACATGTGGGCAGCGAGGCGAGCAAAGTAACTACGTGAGCCTTGCTTCCTAAGGAATTGAGACTAACCCCGGAGCCCTGATGTGTTCGGCGTGTATCCCTGAGACGCAGGGCTGGCGGGAGGAGTGGGGGAGCCGCAAGGCTGCTCTGGTGTCACACGTGTGCTCCTGAGTGTCCTGCGAGCCTGGAGCTGAGGCTCTGAGACTGCACAGCCTATGATTTGCATGAGGGCTGTGTCCGCCCTGAAGCTTCCAGATAGTGAGAAAGCCAAAACACGAGCAAATGTAGCCAAAGAATTGGCCCCGTTGTTCACTTCACAGGGAGTCTGCCTGTAATTAGGAGTACTTGGAGGGCCCCATGGCAAACACAATGGAAGATGGGATTTACTATGAGATTCCATGTGAGTCTGCAATGAGTCATTAGTCATTTCTGTTGAGTCATTGAGAACCAAACTGGTGCTTATTTAAAGTTAAAAGTTAATTCTCTTACACAGTGCAAAACAAGGGCACTCCAAAAGAACGTTAACTTTACTTCCTTCAGAGGGACAGACCTTTCTCCAGCCAGGACCACCGTGCAGGGTGTGCTATCCTGGGCGCTATGAATCCTATCAGCTATCAGCCATTTATGCTGCTCTTCATTTTGGCTGTAAAATGTTTTGATATGCATATTTTTATTCCAGACTTAAGACAGTCAAAGTTTGGAGCTGCTGGCACTCTGATTCCATGAGTACCTAATGGTATGTTCACGGGCGTTAAGCCCAAAGCTGGTGCTTTTAGAAGGAAATGTTGGTAATGGCAGTTTTTCAGGAAAAGAGTGAGTGAACTGCCTGGTTTGAGTGAAGCAGGAGGTATCTGCTGATATCAGGGTGTATAGGTCCTTCCCACCGCCAAGCCGTAACAGAAAGGAAGAGTTGTTGGAGGGGAGAGAAATGTTGTCTTTGCTGCTGGATCCCTTTGCCCAGGAAAGTAGGTGCCTCTACAATGGAAGAAGTCAAGGAGGGAAGAGAAGTTGCTATTTCACCCTCAGTATAATTTTCAATATTTCTAAAATGTCACTTCTTTTACAGTTTTTCTTCCTTTTTTTCAGCAGTGAGCTATAATATTCTAAGTACCTGAAGTCACACAGAAGCCTTTGGAGCTGTTATGAATGACTATTGCTGCAAGCACGACCCACTTCAGGGCTGTGCACCTTGGGCCTCTCCACACATTGACCATCTTAGCTTGTAAATATATGTCATCAATCAATATTTTAAATGGCTTGGCCTTTAACCTTAACATCTGTTGCCAAAACAGTACTCTGAGCATCTGTGACTAGCAGCTTTTTTTTCCCCAGCTTTATGCTGAGACCAGAAAAACAATACTAAAACATGCCCAGAGAAAATGCCTGAATGGAATTACCTAAACAGAGACACTTCCTTTGCAGGGAGAGTGATAGGAGCTCTTGGGCACAGCGAGTTGAATGTGTGCAGTCATGAAGCATTTTAGTTATGAGGAGAGAAAAAAAGCGAAGATCTAAGCAAACAATGGGTTCCTCTGACTGCAAAACATTCTTTTGCTCACTGTCTTACCCAGCCCAAAGCACAAACCTGCTTTGAAGTTGGACACAAGGGATGGGAGCTTTTTAAATATTTCATTTTTTCTGTGATTAGCTTTCATCCCTGACATATTTAAAATGTGCTTTAACTTGGAGAAAGAAACTCTCCAGGAATCCAAGTGATCCCTAAAGCCCAGAGCTCTGCACA